GGGCTAGGCTCCCCGCTCCAGGTGTTGTGCTATGGCTCCTGGTGTATTGAGTCACAGCGACGTTAGTGTTTGGCCTGGCTGTGTCCCCACTCCCCCCTCAATGGGGCCAGGCTAAATACGAGCATTGCTTCTGTGACACTACACCCCATATTCATCATGGGGGGACGATTATGATGATTATGACATAATTATGATGCAATTTGTACAAGATGAATCATGTGTGGTGTCATTGGAAATGTTATGATTTGCTGAATATGATTATCCTCTTTGTATGCATGTATCATTTTTGTGTGTAAAGTTATGAATATTGACTATGTATCTGTATTTCAAATGTAGTTACACCTGGGTAACACCCACTCGGGAAGATGCTTCCAGTCTAGATAGCTGGTTGGGAAGGGCCTATTCAGGGTAATGGGCCATTAGGAAAAACAACAGGCCTGAGGAGAAGCTTATTTCCCACCTGGTGAGCCTTCCTGAGAACGCTCCAGACAGCCTGTAAGTAATGGCTGCTATGACTCTGCAAGGGTATGTGACCAGGGCACATGACTCTCACCTCCATTTTGGGTACCTGTTTTTCACAAACTGGTCTGAGACCCAATTTTGAAACAAATAGTTCCCAATGTATGGAAAAGCTATATAAGGCAGGGAGTGATATCATCTATTGTTCTTCACACCCCCACAACTCAGCACCTGAGAGAAACTCTGGAAGAAAAGGACTTGGAATGGGGGTGGGGAGCCCAAGCTGCAAAGCAAGTGCAGCTTGTGCCTTGACAACCTGCAAGTCTGCTTGTATCATGGGTCAGGGTGAGAAATAGCTAATTCATATACAGGCTTTCTAGTATCTTAGGCTCAGTTTGCATTTTTGTTTATTTGCTAGGTAATCTGCTTTGATCTGTTTGCTATCCCTTATAATCACTTAAAATCTATCTTTTTGTAGTTAATAAACTTGTTTTATGTTTTACTCTAAACCAGTGTGCCTTTAAGTGAAGTGTCTGGGGAAAAATCTCAACTTGGTTAACACATGTTTGTTGCATATTCCTCTCCACATCCTCTCCAGGTAATACATTTATAGTGGTTGGAGTTTCAACCAGGGCAGGGCAGTAGAGCTCTGGGGGCCTAGGCTGGGAAGCTGTGGGTATCTTGGCTGTAGCTTCTCTATTGCTGTTGGTTCATGCAGTGTTTGGTCAGCCTGCATGTAACTGCAGCTGGGTGTGTCCCTGCCTGTGCATATGCTGGTGAGTGTAAGTCTGGGAGTGGTCTACAGCTTGTCACAGCAGCACAGTGTGAGTGGAACCCCAGTTCCAGGTGGCACCCCAGGGGGAACCCATCACAGCTTCAACCCCATGCATCAGGAGTCTGGGCACAACGCCTGGAGCAGGGAACAGAGCCCAGCCAGCCCCATGGGACAGGAGCTGCTTCAACTGGGACATGGCGGTTGGTGTCAAAGCATCAAAGCAGGACAGTCCCACAAAACCCAAGACTATTGGGAGGTCTGTAGGGCTGTCACCTCTGAGATGCAAAAACATGGGATAGCTGCGATGGTCCTGAGCCCATCACACTGGACAGCTGGTAGCGTGTACCAGGCTCACAGACCGACTTTCCAGGACAGCTACGAAGGGACGATCCTGGAGAAACATAGATATTGGCAACCCTAGCAGGGCATGGAATTAAAAAGGGATCCCAGGAGTGGGCGAGGTGGGCAGTGTGGAGACCCCAGGCTAGGCTGTAGAGGGCTGGTAAATGGGGGGAGGTGTGGGGACCAATGCCAGCAGTGTGTGTGTGTGATGCAATGCAGGGACTCTGTGTGTGTGTGTGTGTGTGTGTGTGTAGGAATGTAGGGATTGTGTGTGTATGGGGGGAAGGAATGCAGGGGCTGTGTAGGATGTTGCAATACAGGAGCTGTGGGGGAAGGAGCAATCAGGGCTGTGTGTGTGTGTGTGTGTGTGTGTGCAGAGCAATGTAGGGGTTGTGGGGGGAGTGCAGTGCAGGAACTGTGTATGCAGAGCAATGTAGGGGTCGTGGGGGTGCGTGTGCAGTGCAGGAGCTGTGTGTGTGCAGATCAAGGTAGGGCAGGGGTTCTCAAACTGGGGGCAGGGCCAGCTTTAGGACCTATGGGGCCCGATTGGAATACCTGGCGGCGGTCCCGGTTTTCGGTGGCACTTCGGCGGTGGGAGGTCCACTCCATGTCTTCCGCAGCACTGAAGGACCCCTCCACTGCCGAAATGCCACCGAAGACCCCGGAGTGAACCCGGAGTGAACCCCCTCCACCCCCGCCACCGAAATGCCACCCAAGCAGACCGCCGCCAGGTGAGCCTAAGGCGTGGGGCCCTCTTACCCACGGGGCCCGATTCCAGCGAATTGGCCTAAAGCCATCCCTGACTGGGGGTTGGGACCCCTCAGGTTGTCACGAGGTTATTACCTGGGGGGTCGCAAGCTGTCAACCTCCACCCCAAACCCCGCTTGCCTCCAGCATTTATAATGGTGTTAAATATATTAAAAAGTGTGTTTAATTTATTACGGTGGGGGGGTCTGCACTCAGAGGCTTGCTATGTGAAAGGGGTTGCCAGTAAAAAAGTTTGAGACCCACTGATGTAGGGGCTGTGTGTGTGCAGAGCAATGTAGGGGCGGTGAGCATGTGTGTGTGTGTGTGTGTGTGTGTGTGTGTGTGTGGTGGGGGGGGGTGTTGCAAGGGAGG